GGAGGGCTTGAGGATGTTGGAGGGGCACTGCAGCACCGCTAAGAGTATGAATCTCCTCCTCACTTGGCATGGAAGTTGTAGAATCCTGCCTCTAGGAAATGTGCCGACCTGCGGAAGAAATAGAAAGGAGATAATTAGCCTTCAAACCCCCTTGACTCCATCATGTGTCTCTATAACTCCTTTGACCCCATCATGTGCCAGAGCCTTTAATACAGTGATATTGAAAATTCTGGAGCTGCATTCAGCCCCTCCTCACAGACGCTCCATTGGTTAGAAAAGAAGGGTAGGCTCTCCTCTTTCCTGCTCCTAATCCAACAATGGCGGCTTAAATATGCTCTTGGCTAGATCCCGGGTAGCTCACCCCTACTATAAGCACAGTCAGTTGAACCCAATGCTGACCCCCTCCAACTTCACCCCTTCCAAAGGACCAGTAGGCAAACAGACCAACACATATGTTACCTTCTGGATAATTGGCCCCAGGGAGGGAAGTATAGCCTAGGAGAGGAAAATATTTGATTAGAGGACAGTCTTTGTGGATAAAAGTAGCTGGCATTATTCACAGCAAATGGGGTAGCAAAACTGGGAGAACAAATCACAAACAGAAAGTGAGCAGAGACTGGGAGTGAGGATGGCGACAGGCGCTCAGGAGGGTCACTCACCAGAGGAGCCAGCTCTCCGACAGCGGAGCAAACCAAGAGAGAAGATGATGAGGCCCAGGCCCAGAGTCACTGCAGACACAGAGACCTTCGCTGTCTGTGCCGGGGACAGCCCAGGTGCTGCAAAAACAGAGATTCACTAGGACCAATCTCTGTTGCTCATTTCCAGAGCAACTTAATTTATTGCAATCTCCACCCAGCAGACTCAGAGGTGCTTTATCCCAACCCCAAGGGTCTAGCTCACACCAATCCCCTCCTCAAAACCCCCACCCTATGAATCTCTACTCCTAGAATAACCCCAAGGAACCACTCTCCCTAGAGTTAGCACCTTAGCTTCTAGTACAGTGGGGCGTCTCGAGGCATCCTACTTTCTTCCTTCACCCCAAAGTCACCCTCACCAAAGAATAAAACGTTCCTCATTCCATTCTCCATTGACCCCATAATGACAATGTTTGCTCCCTTACTTGCTCTATCTGAGCAAGTTCCTATTAAAATGTCTTTCCTAAGGTCCAGTGGTTCTGTTCCATGAGTTGTGTCTTATGTGTCTTACCTGTCTCCTACCTGTCCACATCCAGATTTCCCATGTGTCCTTCCAGAACCTGTCTCCATCCCACTGCACAGCCCCCACTTCCCAGAGCTAACTCCTGTCCCACCTGGATTCCTTTCCCATGCTAAAATGGACATTCCATCACCAAGGAAATTCCTTGTGAAGGAGACTTTCCCAGGAGAGCTCAGGTGAGCCTGCAGGTTCCTCTCCGCTCCTCATGCCTTTCTCAGCTGCCAGACACCACAGTCCCCACAGGGGGAGGTCTGGTCTCAGCCAGTCTGGGATCCTGTTCACTGGCCCTTTGCAGACACTCTTTCTCTTCCTCATTTCTTCTTCTCTTTCCCAAGAATCCCCAAATCTGCGTGGGACTTCTCTCAGTTCCTTTAACTACTTCCAATCCTGGTGATTGCTTCCTTGTTCACTAGCCCCGAGCATGCACAGCGAAGTGTCTAGCAGCCGTGGCTTTTCCTCCCTGATAGAGTCCCCCACAGTCAGTATTGCCCCCCACACCGAGAGCCCTTTTCTTCTGCCACCTCCTTTATTTCTCCAATTCCCATTCCTGACCTGACAACAGAATAGCTGAAATCTGAGAATCCTGGAATATTGCATCACAATTTGGGGTTCTGAAATCTACATCCTCTTTTCAGGACAGTCCTGCTTCCCTCCCACTCTCAGACAAGCACACCGCACCACCATGGCAACAGCGACACTAGCATACTTTCCGTTCCTGTATCCCGTTGCCCCATCTCTAGTCACAAACAATCCATAACTTCCTCCAGACCTAATTCTCATTCTCAGCATCTCCCTCTCTGCCGTATACCACCGACCTCTCCACACCTCACTTCCTCTGCCAAAACATTGCTGCTCTGTTTCCACCACCCGCTTGCAATGGCGCTCTGCTTTGGCCCTAATTCCTTCCGCCTGCCATACACTTACTCCAGTCTTGACGGATGGGCTCTGGAGACCCAATGTGCTCCACCACACAGGTGTAGGTATCCCAGAAAGAGGGGGTTGTGGCTAAATGGGAGAGGGTCTGGTACGTCCAGTCTCCATTGGGCTGGGCAATCTTGTGGGCACTGCCATGAGGGGGCACAAGCTGCCCGTTCTTCCTCCATGTGATGGTCACATCTGCTGGATAGAAGCCCGACACATAGCAGGCCAGCATCACGGGCTCCCTCGTGTTAAAAGGAGTGGTTTTGGCTACTTGCACAGATGGTGGCCCTGCATAGGAGGAAAATTGGTCATAAAGGAGAATTTTTTCTTCAACCTGACTTCTTCCCTACTTCAATTCTTCATGGATTTTGCCAACCTCCCCTCCCCACCCCCACCCTATGCCACCACACATCCCTTTGAAAATAAGGAATTAGAATTTGCTCCTGCTTTGCTCTTTCTTTTCTCCCATTCCTTCACTGCCCCGTCTTTTCTTTTCTCCTCCAAAATTATGTTTGATCAAAATAAGCAGAAGCCAGGTCTGAACTGCAAGCTGTTTCAGGAGTCACTGTATTTATTTCAAGCACACAAGCTAACAGTTGTCCAGAGTTGCAAGTTGGGGTCTATGTAAAGGTAGAAAAAGACTTCTGTCCTCAAATCCTGTTAACAAATTAATTTGCTAAATAAAGCTTCTTTTCCTCAGATAGTTTAAGGAAATAAGCCTAACTCAGGGCTCTCTTAAATTTGGATTGGCATTGTCCTAATTAATGAGATTGTTAATATTGCCATTTTTCACTAGTTTATTCTCCTACGTGACCCTCCTGCTTGCCTCTGTCTTTGCTTTTCAAACAAAATCTTAAATAAAAATCCAAGAAATTGTGTTAAAATGCAGATTCCCTAGCCTGCATCCCCAGAAATTTTCGTTCAATGGATCCGAAGGGCTTGTGTTTGTAATAAGCATCTTCCTCAGGCAATTCAGAGAAAGATGGTTTAGAAATCACATCCCAGGACACACTACTCTGTCCTGTAGAGATCTTCAAGCTTTCCTCTACCAATCTCAAGTCATTCTCAATACAAGGGTGAGGAAGCATGTACGTCAGAGGCTTTCCAAATATCCCCATGCTTAGGCCCACCCCAGACCTGGAACATCAGAGCCCAGGATAAAAAGGCATGCGCATTTGGGCGATGCCATTCTGGCTATCCTGACACAGCCCTGGATAAACTGTGATCGACCTAGGACGATCGGCCTAGGAGGAGACATGGGGACCCTCCCCTCAAGAGCTCCTCTTAGGCTCACACATCATCTCCTCTTCTTAATTCCTGCTCCAACCCCACCAGCCACCTTGTTTGACCTTGGGGGTCAAACTTCCCTCTTTCTACATCCAGGTCGATGCATTTTCGGCTTCTTTTCTGCCCAAATCTCAACCCCTTTGGCTGCTGAGGAATCCTCCCTGGCCTCTCTTCTCTTCCCCGTGCTTCCTCATAGCCCCTCTCACCCCTCCTTCCTTACGCGTCCTGTGGGTCAGTGATCCCCAGAAGGGCTTTGTGTGTGTGGCACAGTCCTGGAGCCCCTCAGATAAGCGCTGGAGCAGGCCTTTCTGCTTGTTGAGGTAGTCTGACAGGTAGGTGGCCAACATATTCAGTGTCCCAAATTCACAAGGGGCCATTTGGCCCTCCTTTGGATCCCAGCAAGTCAGCAGATCTTTGTTGAAGGAAACACAATACGTGAAATCCTGTGGCGTCCCATTGTCATCCAACAGACAGGTGCTTTCCACATGGGCCACAAAGCCCCCTGCAGGAGTCAGAGAGGGGGCAGGTCAGAGGCCAGGCCCAGCTACACAGTCGGGCACAGTTTCCCACCTCGGGCAGCGTCTGCTGACCCAGCTCACGCTCTGGAATCCCTGAGAGTCCCGATTAACAGACAAGCTGGATATTGTTAGATCCTGTTTTATGTGAGACTAAGTCTGGGTCTGGAGTGGCCCAAGATTATATACTTGTTCAAACACGACAACTTACTCAGGACAAGACCTTTAATAAGGCACATTACTGAGTGAGAAAAGGGGTAAAGGGAAAGAGTCAGCCTTGTTTTGTGCTGGATATGTTATAAATATTCACTCCATATATATTTATGAGGTACTCGCTACGTGCCAGGCACTGTGCTAGGAGCTGGTGGTGCAGCAAACAAGACAGATGTCCTTGCCTACATTCCAGCAGGAGATCCATATTACACAAATAATCACACAGCTTCATTACTATTAAAATTGCTGCAAAGGTACAGTACAAGTGCTATAAGAGTATATCATAGTCTGGGGTGTCCAAATCCAGTAACAAAACTGAACCCCCTTAGCCTACAACATGAGCAGAGGAAGGGAGGGCCCAGGAAGGAATGTCCTTACCTGCTCCGGTGCAGCCCAGGCTAAGGACTAGCAGCAGCTGCAGGAGTGTGGTCATGATCTGCTCTGGGAAGACACAGGGAACTCGGTCCCCTGGACCAGCTCTTCCAGGGGCCTTGAGTCCTTGACTGCTCCAGAAACCCCAGCCTGGGTAGATGATCTCCAGGCCCTGAGCAGAATATGGTATTGCCCAGGCCTCTTGACTAAATGAGTGATTTGGAGCTACCCAGCCCCTAGATACTAAACTTGTTCTTACCAGCCCATCTAAGTTGCGTCCCAAACTGAGGGTTGTCAGATTGGCTGGGTAGCTGGGGCAAACATAGAGACAAATCACTGAGTGCCTCAGCCTAGCGTCATCAGTTACTAGGTAAACGTCATCCTGTCCTAGGCTTTAAACCACTGGTCTCTTTCTTAACTCTTCTTGTAGAACAACCAGTCTTGAAGTAGATTTCCCTGGTTCAGTGGAGAGAATACTCCCAGTATTCCCAGGATACGGACTGCCTGCTGATTTAACTGTTTCCTCTCAATGTCCTCCCCCAAGACTGGGACCAGATAACTTCTTTTGTTCCTTACAGCGAGGTTTCTTAGGAAGCTATTACATAACCCTTGGTCTGCCCTGTCACCCAGGAGAGGGAGGACACTGGGTCCTTCTGGGGCAGGTGGCAGAGGCGGGGCTGCTGAGAAGGAAGGATGCGCAGGGAGAGTGCAGGGTTCTCTCTGGCTCAACGCGGGACCGCAGAATAAGGAAAGCAAGTTCCGCCTTAGAGGGCAGGGCCACAGGCCTGCAGACCCCTCCCTGGACCTCCAGCGCTTCTTTTGTTCCAGCCATTGGACCTTCACTTTCTCCTTTTTGCTTTCTGGAGCCCGAGCCATCTCAGGGCAGACCGCAGGGTAACTCCACTTTAACCCCCTTAATAAATAGCTGGTGATGGGCCAGTGCCCAAAGCTCACCTGTCTCCCCCAAACTCAAAACTCCCTTGTGTGTTTTCCCCACTGGTCCCATCTGACCCAGGGCAGGTCCCTGTCGT